TTCTGACTTCAGCTGGCACAGCGAAGTAATCGGCCATTTTACTGACCAATCTTCTTCTCCATTGGCCCTACGGAGTTAGCTCGGACTGTAGGGGGAGCCGCCGCTCCACCGCAGCCGAGCAAAAGCCTCCTCGACGGTGGTCGCCCCTCCAGGGCGATTTAAGACCCGCATAAGGGTCTACCGGTAGAGAGAAAACAGCCAACGAAGAGCAACAGCTCTTTGTATGGCTGAAGGTACCGTGATCCGGAAGCAGAGGTCGCAATATCCTTTTATTATATATCTCACACAAAATTGGTGGGAAAAGCTCTATTCATAAAATATTCAGGCTGTTTATAGGTAGTCCTCGGCTTACAACCATTTGTTTAGCAACCATTCAAAATTACAACAGCACTGATGCAATGACTTGCAACTGGTCTCACACTCACAATGATCAAGTGTTCAAAATTTGGACACTGGCAACCAGCATGTATTTACAATAGTTGCACTTTCTGGGGTCATGTTATTATCACTTGTGAACTTCCCAGCTGCCTTCTGATAAGCAGTCAATGAAGGAAGCCAGATTCACTTAATAACAGCATAATTTATTTAAGAACTGCAGTGATTCACTTAACAACTATGGCAAAAACGGTGTAAATCAAGTGTGACTCACTTAACATATGCCTTGTGAGTTGAGGATTGCCTGTAATTATTTTGCATTATTTATAAAAACAGATGTGCTACAGTAAGGCTGTTCCTTAACAGAATTGATTAAAACTATAAGTCTTCTTTATAACATAATTTCTCTGCAGGGTATAATCTTATCTGAACAATAAAGCTATGAATTTATTTTGTATAATTATTTGTTTATGAGTATTAACTCAAATTCCTATAGCAATATGGTTATGTAATCAGAAACAATCTTGGCACGCAGAGCTGCCTCTTCAAATAAATGCAAAAGTACCAAATATGAACGTTTAATTCCTCCATTATCAGCATGAAGATAATCTCACACTGAAACATATTACCATCAAAACAGAAATTATTGTAAACAAACTAGGTATCTTGTGAACCATGAAACTTCAGTACATCACTTGCACTGTACATAATATGCATTATTCATACCTCTAAGGATTTCAAAAATCTGAAAGGATAATTGAAAAAGAGTTGGTATTTTTGGAAGGAATATAATGAAAAAGTGTTGACAAATACCACCAGGCCTATGTATCAAGACATGCTCAAATATTAACTATGAATAACTCCTAGAACAGCATGACTAAGAAAGGAAGAGGCTATTGCTGAATGACAAGAAGTAGAAGAAGGCAAGTTAAATAGCCACTGAATTAGAATTATGCCTTATGTACACCTTACATGGATTTAACACTAGCAAACAAATGCTAGTAGTGGCCTTTGCTAATATGAGCAGATGTCATCATCAGCCTACAATGTCCAGGCAATGGCAGAAGCCTTCCGTTCCTTGTTGTGGCTTGAAAAGGTTGGCTGAATATCAATTATCAATTATCTCATTTATTGTTTACTAGCTGTACCCAGCCACGCGTTGCTGTGGCTCAGTCTGGTTAAGCTGTTTTTCAAAAAAAGCATGTTTTTACCTGTCACAGGTGTGACATCTATATAATAGTAGGTATATAAAAACACGTGCATATTCGAATGCAACGTTGTGTCAAAATTTCAAAGCAATCGGTGAAGAACTTTCGGAGATTTAAGATTTTGAACAAACGAACATTTACATTTTTATTTATATAGATTTTATATTAGGAAATTGGAAATTCTCAGTTTAATGCAACCAAAAGACCCATATGAAGACCCAATTCCATGTGAGCAACATACAAAGGATAGCTTGTAAAATGTATGCTAGCAAACTATAATGCATAACAGTACAGATATTCCTCGACCAAAATTGGACCCAAAATTTCTGCTGCTAAGTGAGACATTCATTAACTGAATTTTTTATGACTTTTCTTGCCATGTTTGCTTAGTGAATCACTGCTATTGTTAAGTTAGTAACATGGCTATTAAGTGAATCTGTCCTTCCAATTGACTTTGCTTGTCAGAACGTCACAAAAGGTGATCACATGACAGGATACTGCTACCATCATAAATACAGTTGCCAGTTGGAAATGTCTGAATGTTGACGACATGCTACAACAGTTGTAAAAGTGAAAAACACTCATAAGTCACTTTTTTCAGTGCCATTGTAGCTTTGGATGATCATGAAACGAATGGTTGTTAAATCAAGTATTACCTATAATCAGCCCTGCTGGGAACAAATAAATCTCATTTATAATGTAAAAGATTCAAGGAGTAAAACTGCAGGAGAGGTTGAATGATTAAAGTATTTTGGCAAGAACAAATGTGAAATGTATATAACTTGAGAACATAAGTGAGATATAGACTTATTGAGTCAGCAGTGGGAGGGTTTAAAAACTAAGTAAGAGTTCTATTTCAGAAAGAGAGTGACAAAATAAGTTTATTATGATAAGCAAAAGAACTATGAAAATATGGACAAGTAATCCATATAAACAAACTCATATTAAATATCTTTAATATTGTTACAATTATGAAATTTAAACATTTTTGTCACAAGCAAGGTCAACTTTAGGCCAAAACTGAGCAGGCTCTCGCTTAGCATACCAAAATCTAGGCAATATCAACACCACCTCTTCATCTGAATCATTACAAAGTGCTAATCTTCACATCAGCAGGATGTGGAGTCATCAGTCAAGGGCATCTTGCACTGGTCACAAATGGCTCAGTGGCCACACCAGCTTTTACACACTTTGTTAAGGAACACACTCAAGAGAGGAGGAGGCTTGCAGGATTATCTGGTGGAGGGGTCAAAAAAGTCAAGATAAGTCCGGTAAGGAGTCCGGTAAGGAGAAGGGCGGGATATAAATTGAATTAATAAATAAATAAATAAATAAATAAAGATAGTGGACACAACTGATTGATGGAGTTAATGTCCCTTCTTAGGATGCCCAGGTTGCAATTTCACATCTGGGATTTAACTGATCTGAACATTAATGCTTGCAAACATAATATTTAGACAACTTGTAAGTAGCAACCTTGTATTTTCTACTGAAAGACTCTGAACTTTTACTGTTTTAGTAAAAGTTTAGTAAAAGTAATGCCATCTTGATACAAGTTTGTCTTGCTTTTCATCCAACAGATCCCAAAACCAACACATTGGTTTTTAAGTATTACCTCTAAACTGGATAATATCTCTTTCCAGTTCACTCCCATGCCATTATTTATTCAAGAATTCTTGCTAATCCACCTTATAATACAAATGAAATACTACTCTATATAGATTCTCAACTACTGTATCTACTTTGTATTTGGCATTGTTCTTGTTACTAATGTCATGATGTTTTCCATTACCTGCTGACTGAGTTTAACAAGACTTAGCTTGTGAGCTGGCAAACAAATACCTATGTCAAGAGCAAATCAAAGTTCAATTTCAACTACCTCAGTACACTATTAACCCATAAAACTGTTTTGAATCTATCAATTCAACTATATGTTATGTCTATGTTGCCAGAATATCAGCCCTGCAATTTCTGGGCTGTAAAAATTGGGATAATCACCAGATGTAGAAAAAGTAAAGGTAAAGGTCTCCCTGCAGGTTTTACTATGCTATTCGTGACCAACATTTGGGGACAGTGCTCATCTCTGTTCCTTAAACCAAAGAGCCAGGTTGTCCAGAGATGTTTCTGTGGTCATGTGGCCAGCATGACATCACACCGCAGCACAGAACATATGATAAAACACAGAACGCTGTTACCTTCCCCTATGCTTATATGAGGTACTATTCATCTACTTGCATTTATATGCTTCCTAACTGCTTAGCAAGAGCTGGGACAAGTGACGGCAGCTCACTCCATCTTGTAGCACTCAGGTCTCAAACTGCCGAACTATAGACCTTCAATGGTCTAAGATTCAGTGCCTTAACCATTGAGCCACCGTGTTTCATAAATCATCAGCAAAGAAATTAAAAAGACTCTTGTAGGCCAAATGCAATACACATAACAATAATATGTAAGTTAATAGAAACTAAAAGAAACCAATTTATCAATAATATGCAATTAGCTCTCATTTAATATTATTTTCATGAAAGAAACTTAAACTTTAGTTAAATAACAATGATATTTAGACAGAAATAGTTCATAGTATTGCAGAAGACATACGTAAAAGGCACTTTAGAAAATGCTTTTTCTTTGGATTTTACAAAACTATGCAGGTAGTTCTCGATTAGAGACTGGCCCATTTAGTGGCTGCAATTATGACAGTGATGAAAATGTCTTTACAACCAGTCTTCACATTTGTAATTTTGGAGGTCTCACTTAGTGACCACTTCATTTCACAACCAAGTTGCCTGTCCCAATTGCATTTGCTAAATAAGGACTACGTATATACTGGTAAATGACCAGGTTTATCATGTTCAGATTTTTCTTTTCTTAGGAAAGCTCAACTGGTAAAAAAAAAAATAATGACAGTCTTTGAACAAGCAGAGAGACAAGTTCAGACTTTTCACCCAAATCTTTGCAGGTAAAAATAATGTTCCGCTTATGTTTTATTTGCATTTGTGTCTCTTCTGAATTAAAGTCAGTCTAAACATGATCTCTCTTTCAGACGACACCCCCCCCCCCAGCATCCTTGTACAGCACAGTATTAAAACAAAAAAACAGCATAAAATATTAATTGCTTTATCACTGATAATATACCACATATGAATATAAATTATTTTTCTCTGTCCCTTTGAATTATTTTCTCTGTGAAGCATGGCTGGTTTTTTAAACAGTGTTGCTGCTCCTTGCACATATCTCAAGTGAAAAGTAAACATCTTTTACATATTTTATATTGGTAAAACACATTTTTCCAACTTTTTCTATGCCGTCTGTCACTTTAATTTTACCCTTGACTCAGAAAAATAGTCCTAATTTCCAAATCTCACCTACACTAGTCTGTGAGTCATGCCCAGGTACTGAGACAGCCAGTTTCCCAAGCTCCCTCCTTGCTGAAGCCATTTGAAGCACTTCAGGCGTAGAAGATCTGAAGGACATTCACTGAGGATCAGATGTTGCCCCTTCTTATTAACAAATCCAGTTTATTCAAAGAGATTTTACAGCTTTCCCTTCAGGATATATGTTTATCTTTTTTTTTCTCCTGGTTCAAGCTAACAAGATTTTGTTGTTGTTGTTCTTTTGGGAAAGAATACGATGCAACCTGGAAGCAGTGGTGGGAAAATGAAGAAAGAAAAATGACAGGTAATGTTTAAAAGCTCTCAGATAGGGATTCTATGGGCAGTCTTTGTGTTGTTTCATTATCTCCTTGTTCAACAAGAAAATGTAATTTGAAGTGAAGTGCAATTAGTGATAAGGAAAGTGTTTCTGAATGTAGAATTTGATTGATCTCTATAGATAAATCTATATTTATTTTTGTTGAATTAATTATATAGAAAGAAAAAATAAGTTGCTCTATATGTAAAAGAAGATAAAGTTAAAAATTGTATTACAGGCAAATTAGCATTCTATTGTAAAATGTATATGTTCCATTTTTTTAAAAAAAAGTGAAAGAATGCTCTTAGATCTACTTGTTCTTGTTCAAGAAAAACAACATTGGATTTTAATTCTCTTAATTGTACTAAGGCTACAGAAGGAGTTCTGAAATCATGCTAGCACATGTCAGATTGGAAATTCTAGAAGCTATCATAAACAAAATATTAACATTCCACATTTTTAAATATCCATAAATGTAGCTGGTAAAGCTGCACTCTTATTTAAAAAAACAGGACAGTACTGTAAACTGCTCTAATGGGAAATTTATCTGAATGTTATCTAATTTTCAGGAAGTTTAGAAATAAATCCTGTAAAATATTAAAGCTATCCTACTTCGCTTATATTTAATATTTCCCCCCTTTTTATGTAAAGGTAAAGCTTCTATTACACATTATTCTGAATAATTTTACAAACATTGCACATTAGCAGATACATTGCTTTGGGATTTTTTTAATCAAATTGAGTATTCTTTCTATTTCTATTAAATATGTAGAATTATTCAATACGTAAACATCATCTGTTGATTCCTTCAAAAGTAGAACCAAAGACCAAGTGCCTTTCTTTATAACTTATTTGTTTATTCTGTGGTTTTCAAGTAACATTGTGAAACCAGATCTCCTTCTTTGTTGCGAAAAATTACATGAATGTGTGGAGAGTCAATAAAACTTTTTGGCTCACAGTGGCATATGAGATGAGCCATAGGGATAGTCCAAAACCCTGAACATTCTCAGCCTGTACTTTCTTATTTCCTTTTGTCTGCAACCTTCCCCGTTACATACAAGTCGTCTTTCAGTGTCTCCATTCTTTAATTATGATTGCCTTTCCTCCACTCCCAACCCTAAAGGAACTCTGGACAGAGTGAAGTCACTCAACTATACAATTTCTTATGCAAGTAATAGCATGCAGTATTCTCTGGATTTACTCCACTTCCAAGCTACTTGGCAATTTAGGACATGTTGTTCAGTACAGTATGCTTTTCATAAAGGTATTACAGTGCCCAGTACAGTCTCACAACCTATTCTGCATGTATTTACACCAGGAAAAAAGCAGAGATGGCTGTGAAATGCCAAATGAATAAAGGCAAGTTTGTAATGATTTATTGGAACTAATTTTGTCTGTGCTTTAATTTGTCCCAGAATAGAACAGCTTTTCAATTTGCAGAACTTATTTTAAGTAGACAGATTAAAGAAGATAGGAGCTGAGAAATTAGAGGAACTTAGAGTGAATACGAGCTATCTTGTGTTTACTGCTCATCTTTGAGTATGTTTTTAAATGGCTTGCAAAGTTAAATAAAAATAACTACAGAATGGTAGAATAAGAATGGATTTTTTTAGCAACCAAGTCAATGGATGATGAGATCATTTTATTAGAAAGATTTCATTTTAAGATTGTTGGTCAGATACCATTTGCCATGATATGAAAGTTAAATGGTCTACTTGAGGCAATCCTCAGATATTGGACTCCTTTAAATATAAATAGAAAACATATACTGTAAATAGAATGCTGTTTCTAAAGCAGGATATACCTAGAGGTGGGTTAATCACTTAATAAATGCAATGTTATTTATCCATTAGATTATCTTTTACTATCTTGAAATAATTCAGATACAAATGTTTACCCTTTTTTTTTGTTCTAGCCTACACCTTTCAATTTTGCATTCTTAAAATCTGAAAAAGAGAATTAGAAGTTCCTTGTGCATTATAAAGTAAAATGTATTTACAGAAATGTTATCCAATTCACATGAAAAGATTTATGAGGCCAATGAAAATAATCTAATTTATTTTAGTCATAGTTTGTTGCTAAAACATTAAGCAAAACTTGTCCTACTTTGTTCCACAATTAGAAATTAAATGAGAAAAAACAGACCAGTGAAAGAAGGCATGAGTAGAGATTCCAAGATCTGAAATACTGAAGGGTCTTGACTTTGGAAGAAGAAATCAAAAGAATGCTATGGGTCATGGTCCAAGGATCATAAGGTGTTCCCCTAAGCAGTACAGGCCCAGTGTTTGTAGTTTATTTGACATGGGGAATTATTACTATATCGAGTTTTTATTCTTTCCAAACCACATTGTAAAAAATCTAAATATTTTTAATATAGAAGAGAAACTATTCACAAAAATAAAAAAATGGAAATTAACATGGTCAATATTGTCCACTAATGTCAGGGTCTTAAAATAAAAATATTCCTTTTCCTAAGCATGTGTCCCAGAGTTTTTATGACATAAAGGAATAGAATTACAAGAATTTTAACAACTGAACTATTTTTGTATAGAACTGAACTGAACAGAACAGAACAGAACAGAACAGAACAGAATAAAATGGAGCTAGAAGGGACCTTGGAGGTCTTCTAGTCCAGCCCCCCGCTCAAGCAGGAGAACCTATACCATCTCAGACAAGTGGTTGGATCTTTCTGCTATTTCCTTGAAACAGCTTTTGTGTCAAGTGATAAAGGGGAAGGCTTTTTCACTGAAAATGGATGACCCTACATGTATCCATTTACAAAAACAATTCTTGAAAACTGCACTACCTTAAGAATTTATATCTTGATTGACAAAGAAATATATCATGCATGTGAAATTTTATAACAATTTTACAATGAATATCTTTAATCCATAAATTCCTTTTTGATGCAATTTTATATAAAGCAGTGTTTCTCAACTCTACCAACCTTAAGATTACAGACTGATGTAAAAGGAAACCTGGTCAGTTGATAGCATAGTCAAAAAACAACAACATAAACTGAAACTAAAATTATCATTCCTATGTTTCTTAAAGCCAGCATTGCCTTACTTTGTTTCTTGGTTGTTCTGCAAGTTTCAGGCACAGAATTGTCTTTCCTAGAGATAGTCAATAATATTCTTTTAATAGAATTCCAGTATGTATGTAAAATTAGTGTTATATTAATGTGTTGTGGATGGATGCTTTTACTGCTTTAGGATAAAGTAGCTAACATTTCTGATGACTTGGAACAAATTTGCACCCTCCCAATCCCAGACTTAGAATTTCCAATTAGCAAAATCATATTAACTAGGTATCCTGGAGATTCTCATCCCAACCTATCTGGAGATCAATAGTTAGAATGTTAACTTAGTATGCATGCGACAATGAGCCCATCTCATCAATCACTGATATTAAGCATGCTCTAAGCATGTTGTTTGTTGGTATAAACAGCAAGGCAGGATATACATTCAATTATAAATATTTAACAAATAATACATTCAAAATATCCTTATTTTGATCATGTGTAGAATGACATCAGCCAGAAACTTTTAAAAGACTATGCTTCAGTAAATCTTATTCAAAAACACAAACACAGATTCCTAGTTTATGGATAAAAGATATATTATGGAGCCTTGGTGGTTGCCCTGAGCTTGTTATTTTCTTGCACATGTTTAATTATCCAATTAGGTAACTTCATCACTGCTAGCAAAGTGCTAGCACTGATGATGATGATGATGATGATGATGATGATGATGATGATGATGATGATGATAATAATAATAATAATAATAATAATAATAATAATAATAATAAAGTTGGAAGGGACCTTGGAGGTCATCTAGTCCAACCCCCTGCTCAGGCAGGAAACCCTACACCATTTCAGACAAATGGCTGCCCAGTCTCTTCTTAAAAACTTCCAGTGTTGGAGCATTCACCGCTTCTGGAGACAGGTTGTTCCATTGGTTAATTGTTCTAACTGTCAGGAAGTTTCTTCTTAGTTCTAGGTTGCTTCTCTCCTTGATCAGTTTCCACCCGTTGCTTCTTGTCCTGCCTTCAGGCGCTTTGGAGAATAGCTTGACTCCCTCTTCTTTGTGGCAGCCCCTGAGATAGTTCTAGGTTACCTAGTTCGGTAATGGAACATCTGCAAGAAAACAACCAAGCTCAGAGCACTAAGGACCCCATAGTTCTACCCTGAACTACAAATATTCTCTTCTAAGAGGTACACTGTACATCAGGGGTCCCCAACCTTGGCAACTTTAAGACCTGTGGGTTTCAACTCCCAGAATTTACAAAAAAATTACCAAAACAACTGGAGAGGATCCAAATTCTTGTTTTATTGGATAAAGTGTGTCAATGAACTTTTGAACTTTGGTCTTGCCCCAGTGCAAGTCTCCTTTCATGTCCCCAAATCTTTCTGTCTACCATTTTTGGAGATTCTTTTTTAATAGTTGCATAGCATACGAGCAAAGCCTGTAACTTCTTTGTTGCAGGTAGGAAAACCTTTAGACTCCATTCCTGAAAGAGTAGGCTTAATTTTCTGATAAATGGATGTTTTATGTTTCATCATACCCATTAAGGCAGTCATTTTATGAATAAGAAAGACTACCATGGTAGTTGTTGTATAGGCACCCACAATATTTTCTCAAAATTTCAAGCATGTATCTAGCACTGCCTTCAGTCTGAAATATTGTGGTTTCTAGCAGAGCTAACAGAGGATAAGAAAAGGGCAGCCAGTCCAGAGATACGCATAGTACTCATTTTCCAACTAAATGGACTTTTATGTTACAGTTAAGATATAAATACAGTTATATTTATATTTTAATAACATACAGTGGACTTCTATACACTTTAATTACAAGCCTAATTAACTACTTGGTATACATTTAAGTACAAAGCTTCTTGGAATTCCTTCACTGATTTAATTGCTATGTGATATTTCTCATGTATCTGACAAAAAGACAAAAATCCAGCCTTGAAACAAACTGCAA